ACCATCATAAATAAGATTTTCACCAATAAGCTTTTTCACCCTTTAGGGAAATAGGTCTTTGTTATATAAGAGCTACAAGTCCAACTTTTGGGATTTACTCACTCTCAAGGTCCTAACTTTCACTCAAGGGCTTCCACTAGATATAATCAGTAACCTAATTATTAGGGTAAAAAAAAGCCAACAAGCTAGTCAAATCAAGCTAATTTATGGGTATTCCCCATCTTATAAGACCCAACTGCCAACCAATTTATAAAAAGTACACCATTAAATAATTAAACAAAGGCAACCTATAATGATATCAAGATTGTCAATTAAATACCAATTTAAAGCAAAATCAAATACCACCTAGCGATCAAATTCCACGTGGCTTAAACATGTTAAGTCGGGTGAAAGACTAATGATTATGCCATGCATCCAATCCCTTAGTAGTCACATAAAATACCTTTTGAAACATAAATGAACATGTCGCATGCCTCTAAACCCCTCAATCAAGTTGACAAAATAAACCCTCTATCAATAAATGAATTAATGTAAACCTAGAAAAAAAAAATCATACAAGCTTTCACCCCGATTTGCTCAAAATACTTGAAAGGACGCAACCCATGGTTATTAACCAAAGACTTGAGATGTTACAGCTTGAATCACTCTGGCATTGGTAAACATAGTTTGGTAATATATCCTGGATGATGGAGGCATAGGAACTTAATCAATTTTATCTCCATCACCCCAAGCATTCCCCATTCAATCAAATTCAAATCTATTTACTAAAGCTAAGCCTAAGCAAACTCAATGGAGACTGGAGAGTGCTCCCTTGTGATCGGGATGGTTAAAAAACTAAGGTTGCTAGTGCTCATATGAAGTCTCAACCCTAAATCTAGATAAATCATGGTCCTACATTATGGGAAATATATTAAAACAAAACTCAATCTACCTTTTTTTTTTTAAAAAAAAAAAGGTAGATTGAGTTTTGTTTTAATATATTTCCCATAATGTAGGACCATGATTTATCTAGATTTAGGGTTGAGACTTCATATGAGCACTAGCAACCTTAGTTTTTTAACCATCCCGATCACAAGGGAGCACTCTCCAGTCTCCATTGAGTTTGCTTAGGCTTAGCTTTAGTAAATAGATTTGAATTTGATTGAATGGGGAATGCTTGGGGTGATGGAGATAAAATTGATTAAGTTCCTATGCCTCCATCATCCAGGATATATTACCAAACTATGTTTACCAATGCCAGAGTGATTCAAGCTGTAACATCTCAAGTCTTTGGTTAATAACCATGGGTTGCGTCCTTTCAAGTATTTTGAGCAAATCGGGGTGAAAGCTTGTATGATTTTTTTTTTCTAGGTTTACATTAATTCATTTATTGATAGAGGGTTTATTTTGTCAACTTGATTGAGGGGTTTAGAGGCATGCGACATGTTCATTTATGTTTCAAAAGGTATTTTATGTGACTACTAAGGGATTGGATGCATGGCATAATCATTAGTCTTTCACCCGACTTAACATGTTTAAGCCACGTGGAATTTGATCGCTAGGTGGTATTTGATTTTGCTTTAAATTGGTATTTAATTGACAATCTTGATATCATTATAGGTTGCCTTTGTTTAATTATTTAATGGTGTACTTTTTATAAATTGGTTGGCAGTTGGGTCTTATAAGATGGGGAATACCCATAAATTAGCTTGATTTGACTAGCTTGTTGGCTTTTTTTTACCCTAATAATTAGGTTACTGATTATATCTAGTGGAAGCCCTTGAGTGAAAGTTAGGACCTTGAGAGTGAGTAAATCCCAAAAGTTGGACTTGTAGCTCTTATATAACAAAGACCTATTTCCCTAAAGGGTGAAAAAGCTTATTGGTGAAAATCTTATTTATGATGGTAGTGCCCATCTTAATAGTTATTTTGAGATGATCACTCACTATGACCTTTGTATCAACTGCGAATCATCATGATCAGAATTTGATGCATCTCAAAGATGGAGCTGTAATTTAGGTGCATTTAATATCTAACATAGCAAGAATAAATAGCCAAAAATGAAAATAATAAATCTTCATTGACGAAGTCATAAAAATTTGTGGGCTTTGAAAAATATTCTCTTAGCTTTATTAAATATATAGATAAGAGAGTTTCGTACTTGGGTTTATTTTTTGGAGGCATTTGGATTTAGATACGTTATCACCTAGAGATTTCACTCTATTATGAGGATTTTATAATTATTCCTCTTAATTGGGAGAGAGATCTTTTGACTATGATGCACCGACACTTCTCCACAAAGGGATATGCAAATGTTGACACATATAAGACATGACACGTGTCAGACATTCCTCCGACACGAGTCGAATACGTCGAAGATATGCTCTGTTTAAAAAATATTAAAAATAAATTGTACACGCGTATCCGACACATGCACTTTAAATATTTTATGAATTTTTTTTATTTGTATTTCAAAATTTTATTTAGTAAAAAGCTAAAAACTAATTTTTTTCCTCTCTATGGCCCCAAATCAATCACCCACAATCAATATCCCATTCCCCGAACATTCCCATTTTCATTTTTCTTTGGCAGTTTGCAGCTATTGATGTCGGACGCCATCATAACATCAATGTTTTAAAACCATATCAACATCTAAGTTTTCCATTGTCTTGACATTAATGCTTGACGCCAACAATTTCTACACCTAGAATCATGCCCTTGTATCATTTCGACATATCATCTTTGACCAATGTCATCTCAATATCGACAACTGATGTCACCTCGACGTTGACGGTCGACGCTGTCTTGATCGATGCCCGATGCCCATTGCACAACATTGTTGCTTTACGCTTGGAAACATTGTCATCTACCCTCTTGATGCAATATGGTTTCCTTGACTTTGTATGTTGAGGATTCCCTTCGATTAAATTGATGATAAGCACACCATTGTTAAGGAAAATTGATCGAAATGTGTTTTTTGTGTTAAAGAGCTTTGATTATGGAAGCCATACATTTATTAAGAGGTTTGATGGAGAAATATAGAGAAAATAAGAATGATCTACATATGATATTTATTGATTTAGAAAAAGCATATGATAAAGTTCCAAGAGAAGTGCTATGGAGAGTTCTTGATAAGAAAGGAGTCAATAATGCTTATATTCAAATCATTAAAGATATGTATGCATGAGCTATTACTTGTGTTCAAACACAAGGTGGATTGACCAAGTATTTCCCTATTTCGGTTGGGTTACATCAAGGATCAGCCTTAAGCCCATATCTTTTTGCTTTAGTCTTGGATGTTCTCACTAGACATTTGCAAGAGGATGTACCTTTGTGTATGCTTTTTGCTGATGATATTCTTCTTGTTGATAAGACTAGAGAGGGAGTTGAAGGTAAACTTGAATTATGGAGGTCAACCTTAGAGTCTAAAGGTTTTCGCTTGAGTAGATCTAAAACGGAATATATGGAGTGTAATTTTAGCAGTAATAGTCCTAGTGAGGGGATTGTGACTTTGGGCGATCAAGTCATTAATAAGAGTACACGTTTTAGGTATCTTGGATCTATTGTTCTGAGTGATGGTGAAATATATGGGGATATGATCAGTAGAATTCAAGTTGGATGGTTGAAGTGGAGGAATGCATCGGGTTTGTTATGTGATAGAAATGTACCCCTCAAACTTAAGGGAAAATTCTATAAGATGGTAGTGAGGCCTGCAATGCTTTATGGTGCCGAATGTTGGCCTTTAAAAGAGAAGCATAATACTAAGTTAAGTGTGGCAGAGATGAGGATGCTCAGGTGGATGAGTGGCTTTACCCTTAGAGATAGGATACGAAATGAGCATATACGTGAAAAGGTTGGAGTAGCTCCAGTAGAAGTTAAGATTAGAGAAAGTCGCCTTAGATGGTTTTGTCACATAAAAAGGTGGCCTTTCGATGATCTGGTTAGGAGAGTAGATGTTAAGAAAGGTAGGGGTAGACCTAAAAAGACTTGGTTAGAAAATATTAGGAATGACCTTTCTTTATTAGATTTAAATGAGAATTTGACTTTTAATAGGACACAATGGAGAAAAAGGATTCATGTAGCCGACCCCACGTATTGGGATAAAGGCTTGATGTTGTTGTTGTTGTTGTTGTTGTTGTTTTGGACCATAACAACTCTAAAAAATTTTAACAAACTTGACAGGACTTCGTAAGGATAAACGCATGGCAAGAAAAATCTATAATAGAAGATGGATATTATGCTCTGCTTCGATACCAAAATTTGATATAGAGAAGCACTGAAATCAAGGGGTTCTAATTTCTTATGCAATTGCAATAGGTTGAAAGAGATTTGAGAGGAAGGCGGAATTAAGGGGGAGAGGGATGGTAGCCAATAGAATTCAAAATGGAGAAGGGAATAGAGGGAAGAGACAAGGAAGGAGAAAATATAGCAGAAGACAATGTTAAATAAAAGGAGAAAAAGAAAGATGAACGAGAGAGGGAGAATGAAAAAGAAAAAGAAAGATGAATGAGGGTGGGGTGGGAGAATGAAGAGTAAAGAAGGGACAAGAAATAAAGAATGGAGCAAGATCAAGCGAATGAGAGAGAGAGAGAGAGAGAGAATTAGAGTGGAAGAGAGAAGTGGGAGAGAGAGAGATGATAAAAAGGGGGTGAATTGGCAATAATTCCTTGAGTGCGAGAGAAGATGGGAGAGCAATGTTACCAAGATGTGGGGACAGTTCGAGCAAATTGAGCAAATATTCTTCATTATCGCATCAAAACCATGTCTTATTTATATGAGAAAAAAAAAACTTATGGATAATTACAAAGAAATATATAAAACAGGAGATTATCTCAAACTAAATAAGTCAAAATAAATTTAAAATAATCAAACTAAATACATCTTAAAACATAAATCCGCTAACTAAAAGTAAAAATAATAATTAATTTCGCTGTAAAATCAAGTGCATTTAAAGATCGGATGGCCATTATAATTATGTACAAGAAATTTAAAAAAAAGGTATGTAACACAAGGATAATTACCTGAGCAACTAGGCGGGCCAACAAAGGTAACCAGGGTTGACCAGTTGCAACAGCGCATACTTTTTTGCAATCTTTGAAAATCCTTGCAATCGCTAATTTGGATAATTCCTTTTTCTGCTCAGTTGTTAACTCAACATAAACTGGAAGCATGGGTAAATCATGAGAAGCGTCTTCAGATGTCAGTGTTGTGGACACAGGTGAAGAATATTGATCCGGCTCCAAAGGATTATCATCAATACTTTGACTTACAGTAGCGTCTGAAGGGACAGAAACTGACAGTTCTAGCTCAACAGCATGCATAGTGGAAATTGGTGATTTGAGAGGTATTTGAGCCTCTGTTAATGATTCTACTTCCATAACAGTATCCTTAACTTCTAAAGCTTCATTGGAAGATAACTGATTAGTATTAGAATCAACTGTACTATCCAGGAGTTTGTCCTCATCCTTTGATGCAAAAGAAGAAAGAGGGCATGCAGCCTTGTCTTCCAATGAAGAAATCAGATTACTTTTAGATTGATAAAGATCAATTTTTGAGTCACTATCTTTCTCAGAGTTCAATGGTAAAGACTGCACAGTTGTTGCTACAGCAAGACGGGGATCAAACCGACGAGGATCCTAAAATTGACATACGTTAGTAACAATCAAGACTTATTTTCATTAAAACCTAAAACTTTAAAGAGCAAAATAATATTATAATCCAAGAAATAAATAAAAAAAGATAGAAAAACTCACCCTTCTAGGGTCACGCTTAAAGTCGGCAAGAATGTTAGAAAGGGCAGGCATATCCAGTGTTGGCATAGTGATTTCACTAGACACTGATTTAGTTGATTCATTTTGGGATGAAATAGGAGGCTGGCCGTGTACTGTACCAGAGGAAGGTCCTTCATGTGACAAAGAACCTCTTGGAGACATCTGAGAACTCACACGTGAGTTTCCGTTGATTCCAGATGAGGAAAGTGAATTCTTTGGTAAATGTTTCATTGTTTCTAAGACTATATCAGCTAAGAGATCTGCATGAATATTTGAAATGAGAATTTCAAGGGACTCGGAACCTCTTTCCCCTTCTGCCAACAGAGCACCAATCATGGCAATCATCTTTTCAACAGGAGATAAATCATCTTTTAAAGGAAAATCGCTTGCAGAATCTGGAGTATCCATCATATCAGATGGTTTATCAACAGGCTGAATGGAGATATAAGTTGAACTAAACCTCATCTTCTTTTGTGGCATTTCCTCAGAAATGGAAGAAATGTCATCAAACTGCGTCCCAGACCATATCCTAGCTGAATCCTTAGATGTTGATATTTGTCCCGATAATTCGTCATCCTATAGATATCAATGGTGACAAGATGAAACCATGGGGTCAGTGTCAAATGACAAAATAACAAATCAGAATAAGAATTCTAAGTACATTTTACCTTGTTAACTTGAACATCCCGAGACATGCGCTCCATTCTTGACATTTTTTCGACTTGTCGAATAACTTGCTCTACTGCTTCCCCAGGACTTATGGAACGTAACCACCTCACTAGCTTGTCCCTGGACTGCAGAAACATTGCTCATTTTAGTTACCAAAATTCTCCCAAATCAATTAAGTGTAAGACTTCAACCACATGAAAGAAACAGTGATCCAGCATTCTTAACCTTATGCGAGCAATTAAAGAAAACTACCCCACTAGGTGCTAGTCAATTCCCAGGAAGTCAATCAAACAAATCAAATTTATGGAACCTCGAATAAAAAATATTTACAGTGCATCCAAAAGTGATAAACCAAGTTGCAACATATGTTCTGTGCAATAATATAAGAAAAGGAAGAAACAATGGCAAATGAAAATTGACAAATATTATGATCAACGGGACTTGAGAAAAATTTAATAATAAGGACATATCTCCTAGAAGAATTAAAAATATATATATAACAATGTTGTATCTTTTGCAAGTGATTCAAGATTGGACCATCCCAATTAAGGGTGCGAATGAGTCAAACCGACTAATATGAGCTGCCTCAAGCTCAACTTGATAAATGTCTCGTAAATCGAGTTCAATGAGCTAATGAGCTGAACACGAATTAGCCTCAACTTGACTTGTTAGCTCATGAGTCAGCTTGTTAAAATTTGTTAATATAAAATTCATTTAAAATATTTTAGAATTCAAACTTTAATATAAATTTGTTAAAAATATTTAAAAATGATCTCTTCTTTATCTCAAATGATTTCTTAATACTTTTCATTTAATTTTTATTTTTAATCATGTTATTATAATAGCTACTTGAATAAAAAAGGATCTTCTCTCTTTCTTAATAAATGAGCCAGCTCAAAAGTTGACTCGTAGTATTAAGCTCGAGCTCAAGCTTGTACTTAATTAATTAATCAAGCCTAGGATGACACAAGCATGGCTTGACTCGTGTACAACCTTAATCCCAATCATTTCCAATTACAACTATCCAAGAAATGGAACTGCTGAAAGTAATCAAATCGATTCAAACTGAACATAATAATAAGGGCAAAAATGTTATCAATATGTGGCACCCACTAACCATGACTATTTGAATGAAGTTGAAATACAATTTCAAAAAATATAAGATATTAAATCCAATTTTCCAAACCCCAAAGAATATGTCAAAATAATGACTACAAAAGATGCACGAGCACTCCTAAAATCAATGTCACATTTAGAGCAAGGACAAGACACAAACATGTGTTGTAGTTGAGATAATATTTGATATTTAATAAAATAAGATAAAATGAAGGGATCTCGGCCGTCGATCTTTAGCTCCTCCTCGGATAGGCATGGACGGTTGGATGTCCGCATCACAAATGGTTTGGGCATAAACAAGTTAGGGCAAGATCAAGGTATGATGATACATATAATGTAAAAGGATTATGGACTAGAGGAGGATGAAAGATTACCTGTATAGAAATTATGCAGAGAGATTTATACGAGTATTGTCAACATTAAATAGATAAGGCATAAAGCTGACACAAAATAATTACACATGGCTACTGATGACAATTAAAATGGTGAATATATAAATTGTCAAGATAGTTGTGACCAAAAAGATAAAATAGGTACTAAAAGAGAGAACCAACAAAAAAAAGGTAGAAATACCAAAATTTTGTGAAGTACTAACCAAATGAGTACAAACACAGAAAATTCACTTGATTTGGCAGTCTAGTTATACCATCAATTTAAGATCAATCAATACAAACGTAGCCTAACAGAAGAAGAGGTGAACAAATACATGAATGGTGGGGTAATTTTTTTTTTAACATAAACCCCAAAAACTACATTTCACAAGGTTACAACATCTTATAACAAGGATCGCCTGGTTTTATCTATGGACAACAAACTAATTTAAACATAAAGAGTGACAAAACATGTAAAGGCAACTTCATTCAGATGATTAAGAAAAACTAAAGATATGCATAATCTAGTTAACATCATCAAATAGCCAGCCAAAACTGTTAACTGAAGTCTAGACAGAAAGCATAAAAGTAGATTAATAATTTTCAAAAGATGCAACAGCTATTCATTAAATGATTATGACATCGAGGAGGTTTAAATATTCAAAAAATATATATTGAAATAAATGCACAAGGAAAAATAGTTCTCAATTTCATTGACCCTAAACCCTAAATATAACCATATTTAGGATTCCGGATTGACAACTTGCACTAGACATGCATTCTCAAGTCTTCAGATCTGCCCCACTAGAGGGAATCGTTAAAAGTCAGTCAAATTATACAAGCATAAACCCTGATAAAGCTTAATAAAGGAGCAACATGTATAAGCCAGACATTTTTAACACCAGGACTGAGTCTACCTCAATAGCTGATGGATGATTACACTTCAGGAATCCTAAAAAAGCAGTCCTCAGTGAATATCTAACACTTGCAACGTGCCCACCCTTTAAAGTATGATCATTTGGAGTAAAAGCAAGTAAGGCTGCCAAAATGCCATCGTAGTGAAGGGGCCTTTTCCTTGCAATTGTTGCAAGACTGCAAATCAAAAGAAGTGTTGTGTTAGTGATAGAGGACATGTGGTAAAAGGAAAGCTATCTTAACACAACAGCCTGCTTATTGTAGTGATTCAAAACTAACTGACAGATGCAGGAAAGATAGATCAAAAATGGAATTAAAACAAAGCATAGACATGATCAATATCATATACAAGAATTACAAGGTAAATAACTGCATGGAATAAATAAATACCTAACCTCGCTATAACCATTCTTAAGAAAAATTATCAGGTAAGATGAGAAAAAAACACGTTTTCATTAGCTGAAAATCAGATTCACAGCACTATTAAATAGTGCGGTCTGATAGAAAGATAATGTCTGCATTCAACGTTAAAGATTCAGTTATGTGGTAATCACTAGATACATTAAATTAAATAAGTAATTAAGGTATAATTGACTAATAAGCTGTCAAGTGTAGTAGACGCAGTTACTTTCAGTGCTAAATAGCTTCATCAACCCATCTCATGTACACCAATGGTAAACTTTTGAAACAAAACAACAATACAGGGGCATTACAAAGCACTAAATCTTCCATAGAAACTTAGAAAATTAGCACCAAAACCGTTTTTAGATTATGCGTGATAAATAAATCGACATGAATTAGGTTTTCAAATTAAGCTTGCTTACATTCGGCATAATGAGGTTTAACAAATGAAACAAGATATAAAAATAAAAGTAGAAAGAACATTTCAACAGATGAGAAGTGACTTCACTGCAACACAGAATATAAGCTCAGTACTACACAAAATAATGCAATATTGGATGATAGCCTTTCTTGAAATGCACAAGGACTCAAATAAATCTGATTCATCTCTATGGATAAATTATAACCTAGAGACCAAATGCAAAGATCTACAAAATCCTTAGAAGCGTAAACAATTCTGAAGGGCTGTTTTGTTTGTGCAACCCAAATTCAGCATGTCTGCAAAATCCTAATTTAACAAACATCTGTGAGATATATTTGAAAACCCTCAACCATTAGCTGGGTTGCCCCTAGGCTGCAGGCTTGTTTGGGACATGAGTAGGATATAAACCATGGTAATTTGAGTTAGAAGACCCACACATTTGGTTTAACAACCCTAGCCAAAAAATATTATTTAGGCTAATCTTTTCATGCTTCCCTAGATTTATGAAGGGATGTCAAAATTTGACACGACCCGAAAACTTGAGCCAAACCTGACCTAAAAACTCCAAGTTCAGGTCAACCTGTATGAGAAACATGTCAGGTTCGGGTGTCAAATTTTGACCCGATTGTAAATCCGGATCAAGTTTGGCTCAACCCGAACTCAACCTGGAACTGACCCGATCATCTCCTGCATAGCAATGCGACCCCACCCCGCGCTCGCAACCTCGCACCATGACCCCCCCCCTCCCCTCCCCGCCCTTGCACCGGCATCGCGACCTCGCCCCGCGCTCGCACCGCGACCCTGCTTCGCGCTCTCCCTCGAGTCCCCCTCTGGCCCCAGCGTCCCATGCTCGCCTACTCGCCCGAGCTCAGGCTCACAACCATGCACAGTTGCGGGTTCTGGGTCGGGTCGGTCCAACCCAAAAACCCGGCGGGTTGGATCCAAGTCTGAAATTCTAATATGTTTGCCTAATCTAGTCGGGTTCGAGTTACTTGAAGTGGGTCTGTTTTGGGTTGGACCCGAACCCAACCCGAAAACACATTTTAACACCCCTAGATTTATTCTCATATAGTAAAGGTCAGCCTCCTACTACAAGACAAAAACTATAAATCTTAAAAAAATATTCACTACCTCCATTACTAAAAACATCATCTATTCGTATGAAAAAGCCAGCCTCCTACTACAAATTAAATATTAGAAATAAATTGTCAACAAAGCCACACACAATCATTTTGAAATTCAAGAACATGACAGAAACCCAATTTGTATCACAAGTGCTAAATACAATCACTCTTTTAAATCATCAAATAAATATAGAAGAAAAGGATGGGAGAAAAAAGAAAGAATGAATTTGCCAAAAAGCAAGCACAAGTATGTACCAAGGAAATAACCTCTCTCAAGATTCTTCAAATCCCAATTGGTCAAGGAATTTACTCTTTGATGTAGAAAGAATTACAAATCCAAAATATAACTTTTATTCAAACACTAAATTACAAAGCTCGATAGAATGTTCCTGATGAGGGCATTGAAACATGAAAAGTCAACACAAAAGCTCAAGTGGCCATAAGCCAACTACAATCAAACGATGCCATAAGAGATCTGAGTCTGACCTATTTTAAAGCCTTTTTAGGCCTATTTGCATTTATGGCCAAAATTCTCCTTTTTCAATTTGATTTGAATAAGAATATTGGGATTGGATAGAATTAGCTTTGCATTTAAATCTCATCCTATAGGTATCCCACCTAGCACTTGCACACAATTGCATGCCATTATTCCCACTCAAGCCCGGGTTTGCACACTCTCCCTACATTCACATACAACTATCAAGCTTGCTTTCATTTGCAGTCCACATGTTGCACATGACTAGACCCCACCTTTTGCAAGAGAGTGCAACTTGCATGCTTTAAATGTCATAATTGCATATCCTATATTTCTCGCTAGCAACTTTGTTGCTCGATGTCCTCAAAATTTTGCATGTTACTCGCTCGCTTCCAACATCATAATCGCCTTATCCTATGATTATCATCGCTAGAGGCTTTGCAGCTTGATGTAACCCCATAGTTTTGCATCTCACTATGTTGCATCTCTTTCTTCAACTACAATAAGAAAGATAGGAACAATAACATTAGGGGTTCTAATGTCGAAAATCTAGGCTAAAGATCAATTTCCCAGGCCCCTCAGCTTCCATGCTTTCAGCATTAAGCAAAGGATTTCTCCCCAACTATTGTTGACAAGCAACCTCCGACCATTGGAATCTATAACAATCTGCCTTAGGCATGCACTAGAAAAAGCTACCTAAGTTCCTTATGGCGGAGTCCAAGATTGCACTACGATTATCTTCGCTCTCCATCACTTCAATAACAAGAAAATCATTTCCGACAACAAGAATACTTGACTCAAACTCAACCAAAATTGAGAAAAGACAAATAAGAAGTTGCCTTGAATATAATCCAAACCAACCAATACAACAATTGCTAATATTACAAACATATTCTACTTAAACAAAAAATAAAAATCAACCCCAACAAAAAAAAGAAAATGACACAAATAACCCAATTGAGTACTCAAATTAATTATGTAATCTATATGCCGTTTTCTATTGTAATTTTTTAATGGAACGTGCATATTTTGTGACTAGTTTGTGTGGGCTCCGAAAATTCAGCCCCGGCCTCTGCCCGCACTTGTTATGATTTTTCATTTTCGGCGAGGGGAGTTTTAACGGATTTAGGTTCCGGGGTAAATTTTGGAAGGCAGATGGGTTTGTAGATAAGACACTACCCAGAGATTTCGCCCTCATTTTGAGAAGACTTTATGATCTGAGTTCTAGTTTCCTATAGGCGCAAGCCCCTATAGTTTAATTACCCCTCCCGATCACGAGAGAAAACTTTCGATTAAGGCTAATCGTCAATCAGATACGTAGAGTATACGTGTCATCTGCATATAGTAGCAGCATAGATATTTGGAATGATTGGAGAATTTGGGAATTTGGGTAGAGGTATTTGAGAAGTTTGATATTTAAAGTAAAAATTTCACCAACTTGCACTTAAAACGAATGGTGGGAGAATGGATGATAAACCCGATCAACATCCCATGGTTCCGTCGTCCTGGGCCATCGTGGTCCCTGGTCTACTTAGTCAGAGGAGGTAGTCGACCCAACCTGACAGAAGGATCCTTGTCGGCAGCCATGGGTTGCTTCGTCGAAGGGTACCCTGTAGACCTGTGGTGAATGTTTGCCTAAGGAGACAAATTTGAATCCACCTTAGCTAACCAAGGGCTTTGTGCCCTATCGATCATATCCTATTGATTCATATCTCAAGAATTTGATGCATTAAGGAGCGTATTGGCTCTGGCCATAACCGGTATTTGTGGTGTCATTTGGCGGCAAAATCACTGGGTTCAAAAGGCCCGATTCATAACCGTTTATCCTGCGATGCCATTTAGCGGCAAAACCACCGGTCAGAGGACGCGTACCACGTCCTTATTGGCAGAAGATTGTTTGAGAATTGATCCTAGTGATATTTTCGACTAGGCATTTGTTCTATGTGAGCTGAAGTAATTTTTCAATTTGTCCACCCCGACAAATTGTTGCGGATGATGGATGAATTTTGCTTTAAGTATTTGATGGGTTGAATTTCATTTTAAATATTTTGGGTTTTAGGATTTTTGGATTTCAGGCATTTAGGCGGCATTTGAAATTATTTGGAATGGACCCCTCCGCTTGAGATTTTCTACTCAACACGGCCATCATCGGGGTGTTTGGGGTCATTTCTATTTGCAAATATTTGCATTTTGTGGACGAACCTTATCGACTCTGTCGAGCTGTTGACAGAGGATCGGATTTCATAGGTTTTATGTCTTTGTTAGTGAATTCTCATTTTTAAAGGCCTTGAAGGCCTTAATATAAATGTATAAAATAAATATTCCGGTCGACTTCGTGACCGCATATTTATCCGATAGTTCGAACCCTGTCTACTCCTATTTACCTACTTAGATCACAAGCTCACTTGTTCATTGACATTCGTTTGAGTGCATTGAAGGCTTGATTCAAATCAAGTCTAAGTTCATAAGTCCTTGCAAGTTCAGTTCACATCAAGCAAAAGTCCAAATTTGCAAATCCCCTGATGTTCAAGAGTTTGCAAGCTCAAGTTCTAGTCTAGATCTTCATCATTTGGTTCAAGTCTTGGACTTCGGTAAGTCTGCTTGTTTTTTTGTAAGTGATTGTTCAAATTCAGATTCATTTAGATTTGAGTTCATCAAGTTCATAAGTCCCACTTGATGTTGTATAGTCCGAGTTCAAGTGCTTGTTCAGAATCTTCTGAAGTCTTTGCAGGTTCAATTGCATTTTCAATTTAATTTGAATTCAGCTCCAATTTGATTTTATTTTTACTTTAGTTTGACCTTTTATTCATCATTTAGATTTTGTTCGAGTTTAGGTCCTCAAGTCCACTGTTCATTTGAGTCTAAGTTCTTGTTCTTTTGAGTTCAGATTAGGTCCAAGTACATTTATATTTTCACCCAAAATTGCGGCAGCCTCCTGACGTCTCCCCCGTTTAAGGGAAAAGTGAAAAACTACAGAAAACTGGGCCTTCCCACCATGCTAAGAAAAGCGTGTATGGTAGGTGCCCTCATACTAAGACACTGCGGCCGTAAAATCTTTGTCCCCACCATGCTAAGAAAAGCGCGTATGGGTTTTCGGTACCTGTTACAAGAAAAGAGCAGACGTTTTCCCGCAGGTACAGAGCCGCGTACGGGTACTTAAGAGTTGTCCTGGCCACGCTAAGAAAAGCGTGCACCAGACTTACCTGCCTCGTCGTATATGTCGCACCGTATTCCCTCCTACCACGCTAAGAATAGTGTGTATAGCTGGTTAGCAGGCTCATCACACACGTCGAGGGGAAGTTTTTGGAGCCGAGGGGTTGCTCACCAACCTCATCGTAGGCGTTGCACCGGGTTCCCTCCTACCATGCTAAGAAAAGCGTATATATGTGGTTAACCGGCGCGTCACGCACACCGAGGTAAGAGAGGGATTTTTTAAAAATCATAATTAATTATTAATTATAATTATCATTAATTAATTATGTTTAATGATAACTAATTAAAGTAATTAATTATAATTATTATAATTAATTAAAATAACTAATTATAATTAATTAAAATAATTAATTATATTTAATTTCAATTAATTAGAACTAATTAATATTAATTAACTTGATTAATCTCTCTCTCTCTCTCTCTCTCTCTCTCTCTCTCTCTCTCTCTCTCTCTCTGCTTGTGTGGGAAGTCAGCACAAGGAAAGGAGATCGGGAAGGGGCTGGAGGCAGGAAGGAGATAGGGTCGGAGGAGAGAGGCCTCGGGTTTGGGAGCAGGATGTCGGAGAGAAAAAAAAATGAGAGCACGAAAGCTTGTTCTCTCTAGTATTTAACGACGAGCGAGGTAGGACGACGCATTCAAAGCGGACGTGGGATTGGCGGCGTCGACGCGCAAGCCTCATGCGAAGAACGGATGAGGACATACGGGCCACAGGATTTCCGCGATCTGGGCACGATTTTGACGTGCTATGTTCGACGCTATAGGTATGAAAGAAAAAAAAATATTCCTTAGGCATGTAGGTCAACAGTTTGAAATTTGGTGGTGGCAAAAGTTGTTTGCAATAATCAGCTATCAATCAACTACTTATTTATTGCTGGATCTTATTCTTAGATTTTGACACAATTAAAAATGCAACATTTTTACATTCCTCAAATATAAATGCCAAGTTGTGAGACATTTCCATAGAGTTTATGGTTGATGCGAAAACTTTCTTTTGTATACAATATCTTAAACAAATTATTACAAATTCCACACGCCAAGGCAGATTTGTTGGGGAGGGGATTTGAAGACTTTTCAATTGGAGAGATATCCTTTTATCAAACTTTGTTTTTGGTGGTTATGGTTAGGACCTTTCAATTTACAATCAAGGACTTCATACGAAAACAATAAATTTTTTATTAATGATTTCATAAATTTAACAGCTATAGTATTAATTTAAATGTGATTAATAAACAAACCCCAATAATATTTTGGTTAATTTACATTTAATTTTAGCTATATGAATTTAGAATGAGCTATTTTGAGGTGTTAGAATTAGTATAAGAACTATGGTACTAGGCAATGGACAAATACTTACATTGAATTGCACACAACATTACTATTTGCTAAATATAAATATTGCTTGCAACACTTGGGATAAATTATCCCCGCACATGCTTCTGCTGAAATTCATTAAGTTGTGATGTATTGTGCTAGGTAGTACAAAAAATAAAGTCAATGACACTCACAAAGATTGACAAGCAATTCTACAGAAGCGTTCTCCTTGGCGTTAATTTATTAAAGGAGTGCATGCATTGGCGGGTATTACGTTAAGAAAAACTTGAGGTATGCTAAATTTTTTAAAAGCAACGCAGAAGAAATACATTACCAAATGAAGCGTAACAGTATTATTTTAGACTATTATTGATGTGAAACAATCAAGCGATGAAATGAGAATTGCACTTAAAATTAATAGAAATATTGAATCATAACTTGCTACCAAAACTTTATGCTTAATCAAGTGAAGTTCAAGAATTATAAAACGAATGATTAAGTAACAACAAGAAATCACATTTAGAGATTAGAAGGCTTTTCAAAATAACATCAAAACTTCAAGTAATGCGAATAGCTAAGAATAACAAAGCCCCAAATTTAAGATTTAGATCCTTCACCTTAGGATCCGTCACTCAATTTAAAGTGGAGGCTAGCGGAAAAGGACCGTAAGTAGGCTTAGCGACGCTACTAGTAGGCAAGTGATCTTGAGGGGACTTGTCGCTGGGAAGGAGGCCGGGTTCGGAGGAGCGGGCGGACGGCTCTTGATGATCCACGTGTAGACGGAGAAGTGATCGTCGATGGAGTCCACGAGGGTTGGTAAGATCCGGTCCAAGTACTCTTCGGGGGTGTCATCAAAGTCGAATCCAACGTCGAAGAAGGGCGAATGGAGGATGTCGACTCGTCCGTTGTGGTCGTATTCAAAGCCGAAATTCCATTCGGGTTCATCCATGCATGGCGGTAGTGAACGACGAAACCCAAAGAGGGGAGACAAGGAGGCAAACCGTGAGCCAAGGAGAGAGGCCGGTCACGGGTTGGAGAGGGGCTTGGCGGGTGGAGCTTTGGGGGAAAGGGGAAAATAAAAATCTGAGATTTAATTAAGATTTCCGAAATTGGCGGATTCTTAATTTCAATTTCAGAATTTGAATTTGGGAATTAAGGCGAGGAGAAGGTTAATGGTGTATTAAGAAAATTAAAAGAGAAATAAAAAAGGGGTGTATGGCCGGCCATGTATGGAGGAGAGAGAGGGCAGATTTTGTTAATAGGAGGGGACCACAATCATTAAATAAAATCTGAATTTAAGTTTCAAATTTTAATCAAATCATGTAACTCCCAATTTAGTGCCAATTGAGAGGGAATTTTGAATTTTAGCAATAATAACTCCCTTGATTAGCTCCTAAATTTAAGTCTTAATTAGGCAAGTTATTCATGATGAAATTTCAAAATAACCAGGGAATTCCACAGGAGGGGCCGGCGGCATGGGGAAGACACCGCAAAACTAAGAGATTACAATGCATAATGCCTCATATAAGGAGGCTCAAACTAAAAGAAAAGAAAAGACATAAACGCCCTCGGGGCTACATGAGTCAAACAATGCCCTCAGGGGCAAACTAGGAAAACTAAGAAAAGAACACATGACATAAGTTGTAAATAATCTCAAAAGTAGAGGCTCTGGATCGTAGCCGTCGATCTGCGCCGTCAGCGATGGTACACGTGTCGAAATCTAATGTCCCCATCAATTATATCCACAGAAGTCAGAACACTAAAACCCAGAATAAAGATCTTTATATATGACAGTATTTGTGTTACTAAATTACTGCATTCATCTAGTCTTTAACTTTTATTTTCAAAAAAGGTTCTACCATAAACTTTGCTTGTAGATTTAATCTATTACATTAGTAAAATATTTACAGTATTGAAGGATGGCAAAAACTGGAAGTTTTTATATATAGAGTTATTTCATTTGAAATAGAGTGCCACCAACGAAAAAAAAGTTATATTTGTGAAAACAAGTAAAATAATTTATCAGATGTCCGCAGCATTGCATTTTGTCAAAGATGTGGAACTTTATTTACTTTGCAAGGTTTTGCTACACTATAAATGAGATTATTTTATTTTTAAAAACTACACAAGAAAGGAACTCTTGTCCCAAAAAGACATGCAATAGAAAGCAACTATGAATTTTAAATATAATGCCAAAACTAATTCCAGGACTCACCAGTTCATTATAGCGATTGTCAATGAACCCTGAAGAGAATCAGCTGAGCGCAATAAATCTAGTAAGAGCTTAAGAGAATTGTTTGCTTCTATCGCAAGTGCTGCTGGGTTAAAAACAGGATGATCCTTCTTTAACCATGAGACATTGAAGTCCCGCTCTTTTCCTGTTTGAAAAACAACATAAAAGATGTAAACAATACATCTATTAAGAATCAACAAATTAGCCAAAATAATTTGCATATTTTGGGCATGTTAGGAAACTAAATTCACTATCGGAACACATACCTTCCTCATAAGGAGCATCACCTACATGCTCATCAGATGTCAAGGTTAAAACGCAAGTTTCAAGAAATTTTACAGCAAGCACCTTTGTTCCGACAGATCCAGGCTATGACAAGAGTACAGACACTGTTAGCAAACTTTGAACATAAATTGAAAGGTGATGTGAAACAATTGCGGAGTTACTTAAGAAATTAAAGAGAGCGAATTAACAAAGTGTTTCCACAATAAATTTATTACTTATAACAATGATTGATCCTGAGAATTCTTAGTTTTTAACTTGCTTAGGCAAAGAAGAGCGAAGTCGGTTAACCAAACAATTTAAGAAAATGCAAAGATTAATTGTAAAACTACGACGATAAACAAGAATCCGCGATTTAATAATGAGAACTTTCACCTTTGGAGCCCATACACTCAACTAGTCTAGACTTTAGCGGAAGAAGAGTCTCCACATTAGAACCGAGGTCACTCCGAGGAAGAAGGAGCCTAAGATCGTCGTTCTTAGATAGGGGGCCGGAGTGGTGGAGGATGGCGGTCGTCCAAGGATGATCTAACGTCCCTTTGATCTTTGCTCGTCGATCACATCCACTAAGTTGTAATGGATACGATCGATGTAATCTTCAATGGTGTCGTCGAAATCGAAGCCCGCATCAAAGAACGGTGATTGGAGGATGTCAACTTGATCTCGCTCGTCATGTACGAATCCAAAGTTCCATTCAAATTCGGGGTCTGCCATGCATGGTGGTATCTAGAGGGGAAGACAAAAGAGGGAGGTGGGAGAGGGGGCCGTGAGCTAGGGAGAGAGTGGTCACGGGTTTGAGCTAGGGGAATTTGGGGGTCAAATGGTAGAGTGCAGGAATTCTGACTTAATTTCAGAATTTGGGAGGTTTAATGGTGGGATTTAATTTGAAATTCAAATTAAGTCAAGGAGGGAGAAGGGGCGGTAAAGAGAGGGGAATTTGGGCTGATTTTGTAGAGCTATTAGGGTGATTAGTAGAGAGAGAGGAGTGGCCGTCCAAGCTAGAGGAGGGAGGGGGGTTTCGGTTTTGATGAGTTGGGGCCCAAGTTTAAGTAGATATTGAATTAAATCTGAATTTTAATTTCAGATTTAATTATGTCTTAAGTAACTTCCCAAACTTTAAAATGAGAGGGAAACCAAATTTGAATTTCGAATTTGGCTTTAATCTCATTAATGGGCTGGATTAATGGATGAGCACCAATTAGGAAAGTGATTACTCAAGGGATTTGAAATTCAAATGCTAAGAATTCAAGAGGGGGAGGCAGCGGGATGGAGCTGTGGGGCTGGCCGGCGTAAGACAGGCCGGCGGGTGGCTGGTTGTTGGCCGGCGGAAAGCTGGTTGGCGGGTGGCTGAGCGGCTGGCCGACGGAAGGCTGTAGCCAGGGGCCGGCGGCTTTGGCCTGCTTGGAGTAGGCGGCGGCAAGAGCAAAGGGAAAAGAATTGGGAATTTCTAGGGACTTGAGTAACCACGGATCCACTAACCTCAATTGCCTTCAATCCGAATATCCACCACGAATGAGGGGACGAGAATTTAGAACTCACAAAGAGATCTATTTCCTCCGACGAACTCGCTAAGAGATCGGGGAGGAGGAACTCACAAAGAGAACTCAAAGTAAAATTTTCATTTCATCAAAACTAAAATTACAATGCATGAGGCCTCATATAAATAGGCCAAAATGAAATAACAAGAAATGACACAAATGCCCTTCCGGGCTACATAAGCGACTCAATGCCCATAAGGGAAAAAGCGGAAAAACATCAAAATAAAATAAACTACTACATAAAATGACAAAATACAACTCATGCTCGTGGCCGTCGATCTCCGGCATCTCATAAAGGTACATGTATCGAAAATGCTGACGATGTCCTCATCAAAAGGCATAATAACTTTTTCATTATTTACAAATAGCTCAAAAGGAAGAAAAAGAAAAGCCAAGCTCCCACTCATGTCCCTCATAATCAGATAGACTCTACAAGAGAAGGAGAGCAACAGCAGGAATCCCGACCTTATAAAAAGTGCGAAGGAGACAAATTTATTCAAATGTATTCATGCAAACATACATACATACATACTTACCCAGCATGTATGCATCTGTGCATGTACTTGGGCGTGAATATTTATAAGCAAGCATGCATACGCACATGTGCGTGTTGTTAGGTCCTTAGAAACCCGCAAAAGTCAAAACAAGATAAATTGGGAGGTAGCAACACACTTAAAACAAAATATACCAAAATAATAGAAAGGTACCCATAAATAGTAACATAATTAAGAACAGCAAAACACAAAAGTCATAATATGGAACGATATTTCTCATATCATCAGCTTATCCCAACTGCTATTAATTGGCTTTTCAAATCACTCATCATTCATTTCCATATAGAACTGCATTGATGTGACCACCAATTTATGGTTCTTCAAGCATAGTGTATATATATATATATATAAACTATGTGATTTGTTCGTACAGACACTTCAAACACCAATAGACACGTATGATACTAATTTTCCACATTATATATTGAAAGAATTCCAATTTCACAATGTCTTTAACTTCAGATACAGATAGTAAATTTAACACAAAAATAAAGCTAAAGCATGCATGTATAACTTATCCACTATTTAGAAGCTGAACTTTAAGCTGCATGGTAGCTAATAATTACATTCAACAAGGGTGAGCCAAACTTTAATTATTACCAGAAAAAGCTTATTTTGCAGCACCTATCCGCATCTAGTCTTTATGAACTCAGATAACTATAGCTTAGGCCTTCTTAAATTTTAACAATTGCATCACATATAAGGTGATTTTCCAATGGTCTCTTAGTATGTTATTAATAAAATCTGGAATGTAAATTATCCTATGAAGTGATTGAAGTCTGAAAACAAAATTATATTGGAAATTAGCCAGCAGCCTAATTTAACCAAATTTAAGAGGCAAGGATCAGCCGGAAAACTACACCAAACATTTTTGTTCAAAGAAACATCACATAGTTGATACACGAACACCAAGAATAAAATAGTACTTTATGTTGTTGATACTTTGCACAGAGACATGGTCATTAAATAACTTCTTCATAGTAGTTAATATTAGTCAAGTTTATGGAAACAAACAAAATATGTGATACTCTTTGACTAGAACAAACAGCATCAGAAATTCATTTAAATAATCCATTCTTTTCTGTTGAAGTCAAGGTGAATGGCTTCAGCAGACAAGAAAAATTGCCACACAAAGCTATTATTAAACATTTAACAGGTTCAAAATCCCAAGCCATGTCTAATAGATTGTGAACATTCATCAAATTTCAGCGATCGAGGAATTTCAGCATTGTGAATACTGACCATTGTGCTTTATATTGATTGTCGACAAGGAGTTTCTCCACTTCATATATGCAGTGTAACCGCAAACCCCAAACATTGGCAGTTAAATTACTTTTTCATCACTCATTACTCATTCAACTCGGCTTTACCATCAAGCAAAAATAGATGCCAAACAGAAAAAACTATATGCATGTAAGCACATCTAGCAGCTATATAAGGTCTCATTTGGTTCCTGGAAGACAAAAATAACATGTTTTGAAAATTGATGATCTCATTTTTCACTCATTTTGTGAGAGAAATTGAAAACATTACCTTTGAGTAAGTTTAAATTAAAAAGGATTCGAGGAGTTTAAAGTTAATGTTGATTTCCAACTATGAAGGAACTAACAATTTTTACTGATTTATAAAAAAGAAAAGCCAAATATGGGCCCCCGACTAATTTAATCAATGAGTTTTGCACTACTCTAATTTAATCCCTGGACTTTTGAAAATTGATCCAATTGGACTTTAGTGGTGAAAATGACAATTAAAGTTAACATCAAAGTTAAATGAGAGAATATTTTAGATAGTGCAAGTGAATGTGAGATTATATTTCTTATATTGCCTTATTGTCATTTGATTAATTATGATAAAAACAAAAATCAAAATGAAGGCAAACCTACTAAATATCAAGGGTGAATAATTACTTTGAAAAATGTTCATAATGAATATCAGGCTAATAAGTTTTTATGACATAAATTATATTATTAATTATAAGTTATCTCAAGAGAAATTTAATTGAATAATTATATAATCCCCTGAAATTTGAAAAAATAGTTAAATATCTGCTTTATGTTTTATTTTTATAATCAATTTTTATTAGTTTAAGTAGAATGCATTCCAATTATTGGCAAGGGTAAGAATTTTTTATAAATGTTTAAAAAAATAATGTTATAAAGTATTTAATAAAATACCCCCTCAAATTATGAAGTAGCAGGAGACTAGCAGCATCTGTCGTCAATTCAAATAATTTTGTAAATGGAGGGGATAAATTGGATTAATTTTTAATAGTTGGGAACTAAATTTTCTAAAAAAATTGAAACTCCGAGATTAAATTGGTCAATTATTAATAGTTGGTAGACTATTTTGCACTTTTTCTCATTTGTAAAGCATTTTTCTAAACTCAAGAGACCAAATGAGACCTTAAGCCAAAAAAACAGATTTCTCAATGGTTGACAAACTTAATATTCAACTAATTTTGCACAAAGTTGAATGTGACAACACAACACTTTTATGTGTGTGTATTATTTATTCATTCATTTATTTATTTATTTAACCATTTAGTCACACATCATGTAAAGTTAGCACCATCGTCAACGATCTAGATGGTGAGAATAACAATTCATAAATTTTCAGATATAGAGTGCCAAAGTCAAACGAAACTTCATAATCATCTATACAAAAATATAGAGAACAATGTTAATGGCTTAGATTTCTAAAAGCATAATTACATGTATTTAGTAAAGTACACTAGAAAACATCCATTTTGGCATAGTATCAGGCAGGTCATTTAGTTACCATTAATTCTTTATCCGGGGATTTTGGTAGTTTGTTCTCAAATTTTATCCTGTTCATTGGGAAGGATTTTCCCTGTTTCTGAAGGTGGAGGAAGATCACAATGGGGTTCGCCAGTTTGGAACTTTTCCACAATTCAAAATGCTTCTCGTTACCTTATTAAATGGATAGGTAAATGGGCTTTCTTTCTCATATTTGTGATGGCGTATGGTGAAGTGGGTGGGGGCTTGATTGATTGACTAATTTTCTTCCTTTTATCTACAGCTAAGTCATTAGTTATCTTGCAAACTTACGATGTAACAAACATCCTGTACACCCAATTACAGAGCAAGGTTAACTATTTAACGTATAAATAAATTAATTTTTCAAAAGTCAAATTAAGCAGCAACGACAATAAACAAGTTATGTTTGAATTTCTTGTCAATATTTTCAAGAATCGAAACATCTAATGGTTATGTCAATCTCTAATGAACTGAAAGGTTCATGCATTGAGCAAGAAAAATCTTTGGTAGCTATATTTTTCCTCAGAATGCCAACCATGGGTTGCATTACATTGTGCTTAAAAGTAATTTTCACTGCATTTTGTATTCACTTAAAAATGTCAACTCCAAATATTACTCACATCAGTCAGAAAAGCCAAGCTTTTCGGGTGGAAGCATTGCCCACCGATATTAAATCAATTGTTAATAAAGCGTTGAACCTTGAGTAGCATGGCTGTATATAATCATTCTCATTGTTCTCAGTAGTCCATGGAGATATATTGTAGTTATCTTTCTAGCATCTGATGGTGATGACATCAAGGTTTCAAATAAAGTTAGGACACTAGTGTGGTACGGCAATTGTGTCAAAGCCCAACTAGTCGTTTGTTCAGTAAGTTCATAATTTGAAACCAAAAAACTCATACCAGCACAAAATTTTGTAGAATTGTGTCCTCAAATACAAGGCCTGCACAGACCTATACTTGCAGCATAAACTAAAATCAAAATCCATTTAATGACAAAAGACAGCAAGCATGGTTCTCTTAAATAAACTAAGATCGTAGGTGGCAACATTATGAAGTTAGAACTATAATTTTAACTAGGATTAAGCAAAAAAAAAGAACTCATCAATAAAATGTGTTACTATCTAGCTGGCCCATAGACCACTCGATCGTCTTCTCATAAGCATGTACCATTTTCTTTTGGATGATCTTTTTATTGCATTCAAAGAAGTTAGCAAATTGCCTCAGAAAAAAAAATCCTTTGTATCCCTAAGTTAAAAAAAGCAGCCAATGATATCTGGTTGAACTCCACGAACTGCTCAGCTCCTTGTATCGTTTGTTCTAATCAATAATTAAACCTTCCTTCCATAAATTGTTGTCAAAGCTAGACGTTTTAAAGCCTGTGAAATATGCCTTGTGACCTTTTCTTTCTGCAAAGGACTGATAGCAGAAAGATTAAAAACAGAATAGACAGCCTTTATCTCAGTAGGCATACCCTACTTCCATTGAATTTCTGTTAGTTTTGGGAAACAAGAAATCAGGAAATAATGATATAGAGCATAGACTTAAACTGTAAAGCATTGAACTCAGAAATTATGAAAATAATGCTGCATCTGTGCATGAAATTGCCATAGATTTGGACTGAAGATTGAGTACACAAAATTTAGGACTAAGCATATGTGCTGATATTGCACAATAGATTACACATAATTGCTGATGAAAATGCAATGGCTTGCAAGTTCATCGGACAAGAAATAGCAGGAAAAGTTGAAATAAAACACTCCCGACATAATTACCCAGATTCTTACTATTTTTATTTAAATTCCCAACAATAAAAGAGTTTCAGAACTATACTGCCGAGAGTATAGCATTGTCACTTAGTCAAAATTCAGATTCCTTAAAAATTGTAAATAAGGATAGTCTATTATCATAAGAACTATAAAACTTATGTAGCATATACTTCTGCAGATTAATGTCAAGTTTTCATTTTTTTCTAATTAATAGCTTAAGACTCATAAGCACAAGAAAAAAGTTCTAGTGCTAAAGACAGTCCAAAATCATAAGATGCACAGCCATTGCTTGGGCGATGTGGTACATATGCTTGCAATGTAGCACAGCTGAGATTAAAGAAAATGTATAAAAAGCATGGCCAGGAAAAAAGGTAGGCACCAATGCTTTTTAAGCCATATTCTGCTGCTATTTGCCAGACAAAGACAGGTTAATGTCAACTGCCAGTAAATATAGAATACGTAGAATTGATGGATAATAGCATTGCAACGTCGGCATGGGTGACGGGTGTTGGTTATGCGTTAATATTTAGTCTTCTTTATTAATATCAAAAATTATGTGGCAAACAAAGTTTTTGAGGAATATAATATTACAAACAACTCTTTTGTCCATCAACATGGTACAAGTACATAATATAATTAACTAAATTCCATATTTGACAACTTCTCTTATTTTACTAATTTTTTTTCCAATTGACTCTGGATACCTTACCCTCAATCCAACACATTTATAGCAATAAACTAGAGGCATGTCATTCCTTCTAATTACATTTGTTAATCCATTTTCTCATATGCAAAAGAAGAGTAAGAAAAGTCAGACCCCTCAAACATCATAGCAAAGTGTGGCACAACTGTTGTCTAAGCTTACACACGAGATTTACTTGGTTAATCTTAATAATCGGCATGGAGTAGAATATTTGTTGCCAGTTAAACATGAAGCTCTAGCCCAACTTCAATAATAAGATTAATTAATCCAAATCAGAAATTCAATAGTAACTTCTATAGTACCATAAATGGAGTAATAAGGCTAAGGCCTACCTCCAAAACAATGCCAAAAACTGCATCCTTGAATTGTAGCATCCAAGACCACATTTTTTCGAGCCACCTTTCAGGCCTATCGGATTTATTAAGCTACATAATACAAAATCATGATGTCACTACCACTTAAAAATGCATGGATCTCAACTGATAAGAATGAATCATTTAAATCTTTAATATACCAACTGAAGTGATGTTTGGCCGGAAAAAGACAATCTTAAAAGTAATATTGGAAAATTAAAACCAATTATCATGAGTGCCACAAGCAGTCAAAAGGATATTTTCAAAAGCTAAAACAAGTTTTTTGGATCAATTTTAACAGCTCAGTATGAAATAAAAGGTTTGATGATGTTGTTGTTGTTGAGTATGAAATAAAAGGTTCTTAAGAGGAAATAAACAAAACCTACATAAGTGAGATCCTCATAAGAGAGTGATAGTCATCCATCTGAAGCAGCAAAAATTATGTACAGAATATTTAGTTTACTTTTTCGAAAAAGTATTTGCCATTCATTTCTATTTTGAGCTCTCTGTGATGTTAATAAAAGTAAGCCAGTTAAATAACCTCTGACTGATTCTAGCTCTCAAGGTCTGTTTGGCACAGCCACAATTTTTTGTAACAATAGTTATAAAGTTGTGGGGACAGATTTTTCTGAAAAATTACTGTGAGTATAATAAATATAAGTTTTAAAAAGAAAGACATCAATTTTTTTACAACCATCACACTCTAGTAGATCTAGTTCTCAAAAGCAACTCCTTCCCATAGAAATTTCTGAGAAGCATCAGGAATGCAATAACCAAATAGATTTGTGGTAGCTCTAAAGATTAAAGCAATGAAAAAGCTGCCACAAACAAATTCTCAGTTTGATTGTTATTTCATTCTTTCCTATATATGCCTAAACAATTGCAGTATATTTTCTACTATCAAATATCAAATGATTTCATCTCCATTTTGTGCCCATCATTTCACAATTTCTTCTTCCTATTTTTATCATACACTACTCTCAACATATCATTTTTATTACACTCAACTTTCTTAATTGTGCTTCTCCCTAGTTTATAAGATAAAATTAGGACTAATATCATATAAATACCCCTACAGCATTATTCTTGATTATAATTTTACTCATCACAAGTAATTCTCACTCTTCATTTTAAATATTCAAATTAAATTGTTAAAATCTCAATAAGTACTATGTGATAAGAAAATATCAAAAAAAAACTAAGAAAGTTCAATTTAACAAAGCTGCAATTGAACTCTATGAAATTTGAAATCGAGTGGTGAGCAAAAAGGAAGTCAGAATCACCAAATTAGAGTGTAGTATAAATAGGAATATTAAGATGAGTGTGTGATAAAACTATGAAGGTTAAAGTGAAAATATATTAATTTATTGCAAAGGGGGTGACACTAGCATCAATGAAAGAAAACATAATAACAAAAAAGCTAAAATGATTTGAATTTTTATGTGATTCAAAACTGAATGATACATTTTTTAATCACTTCAAAAGATCTCTTAATACCCACAAAATTAATTCTTATGTTAATCAATCATTATGCCTTTTAAGGTCAATAAGCACAATATTAACTTGGATAAAACGCATCTTGATACTAAATTATATATTTTTTAATAGCTTAGCAAGCAACAGCTAAAAAAAATTTAGATTATTTTAGCATCTAATACTATTGAATACAAATTCATACATATTTTTATAATTTTAAAAGATCTTTGAAAATCTTATCTCCTTAATGTCCACAAACCAATTATTATTTCAATTAATCATATACCTTTTTAAGGTCACTAAGTATCATATTAAGATCCTTGCTTTCTATTCTGATTGCATAAAATCAAATCAATTCTTCAATGCTAATTAGATTCTAAGACTACATCCTATAACCCTCTAACATAATTTAATAATATAAACCAGCAATTGACTACACAAAATTGCCAAAAATTTGAATATCTCCAGTATAAAAATTGGTACAAAGTTATTCTTCTCCAATCATTCAACATTCTCTAAGTAAGTTGAGTTTCATTAAAAACATTTGTCAACCAAACTATTTCAGCATCATCAATAAATCTTCAAATCTCAAATAGTGATCTCATTTAGATCATAAACTTTACCATAAATTTGTTTAATTTTAAAATAATTAAATTTAATTTCTTAATCAATCTATAATATATTTGATAATTTGATTCATTTTGCTTATTTAACAAAATTTCTCCCTTAACATTATCATCTAATAATGTCTCAAAATACTAATTTCATTTTTATTCAATATATTCATTTTTAAGTAAGATCTAGCAATCATCACTCCTAATATATCTAATTTGATCAAAATCTGTACATCTCATTTCTTCCTCAGCTGACTTTTCAAATTGAATCCTACCAATTATATCTGCATCAATATCAACACTTTTTTTTAAATACAGTGATACTTTTAAGACTGTCATTGTTAGGTTCCAAGTCTTAGATGAGAAAAGTTGAAGACTGCGTTACGTAGTCGTCAGCCATAATAAAACTTGTAGAATAATCATGACAATAGTCACATGAAACGGCGGCCATCCGATGATCCGGTTAGGAGAGTGGATGTAATAAATTTGGCATATGTTAAGGAAGGTAGAGGTAAACCTGAAAATACTTGATTAGAAAATATTAGAAATGACCTTTCTGTATTAGATTTAAATGATAATTTGACTCTTAAGAGAACACGATGGAGAAAAATGATTCATGTAGCCGACCCCACATAATGGGATAAAGGCTTGATGTTGTTGTTGTACAGTGGTACTTTTAAGACATTCAGTCCAAAGATACAATTCCAGTTCAACAGCTTGACATATATGGATCAATAAGCTCATAAAAAGATCTGGTACTTGTACCATGTAGCCAATTTCCAAAGGAATTACCCTAAACATGCAATAATTTTTAAGGCAAGTAACGGCAGAGAGAGGGTATTGTTTGAGCTATAATCCAGCACAAACTCAAACAAGAAACCAAAATACGCAATCATGATACCTAGTAACATGGTGGCTGTCTTCGAGAGCATCTGTTTCACTAAGTTTGACAATGAACTGATAACATTTCAATTAAGAATAACATCGATCCTAAACAACACATTGGAATCTTAAAGGCTACCACAGAGGATTCCCTCCCTCTTCATATCACATTAACAGGTTAATCCACCACCAGAAATCATATCATATACTTCTTTTCAGTTCAGAATTTTGATCTGACTTTAGCAGGCACAAGAAAAATCAAATTCTGCATCTCAATAGAAAATAATATGTATTGAAAAGAAAGAAAACCATTTAGAGAGAATGGTTTATAATAGGTATGATTGATTAAACATAGTGTACTTTAACATTATTGGAAAGAGTTTATAGTACTTATTTAACTAAATATTCAAAAAAAAAATTCTTGCTAATGCCAAAACTTGTACTATTACGACCACAAATTCCCATTGTCTAATATCAACCGCAGTTTCAGCTGCTTGCAAGAAGATCACAGAACCACAGCATATTAAAAAACCATGAAGAGACAAAAATAACATCTGTAATTTGACATTCATATGAGAATAAAACATATTTATCCATTGATAATACATTTGTTCTACAAAATCACCTGGACTGCTATTTCAACTAGAACAGCACAAAATAAACTTGTTCCAGAGGTTATTGATCGTTTAACAACAAAAGGATCATCATGTTTTAAAAATGACAGCAATTTCGGCAGCAAGACTAGTGAATCTTCTGTGACTTTCCGACCAAGCTCCTTCAAGACCCTACACAAAAAAGAAATCAATTGTTACTATTCAGAAAAAGTGAAAGAGCGTGAGAGTGGAGAGAGAGAGAGAGAGAGAGAGAGAGAGAGCAATTAATAGCTGCCCAAAAGCCTTGGCAAGTTCCTACCATGATGATGAATAGAAAAGAAAATTTCCAAGTCCAAATACATAAAGGGAGAACAAATCTTGATGCAACCTAGTAATAAGTGGAGTTAAAATATGGATGTTGTTGAAATAATTAATTGCACCACTTCAGTAATCGCTAACAGTAACATTTGTTGATAGTTTGTGACAATAAGCATTAGCCATGAGCACGCAAAAGGATGATGCATCACAGAAACACGGAATACACAATATCTTATTCATAGGTGAACAGTTAGAAACAAGTGTATCAAGAAAAATGTATGCCAATAAGGATTCTTTTGATTCCACTTTACTTCTCATAAAAGTGCAGAATCAACACCATTGTACAATCCGTAGCTTAATGTTCAATGTGATTGACAATGTAAAAATACAACCATCACAACAATGCATAAGTATGACTGCAACAAATATAAAAGATAATTGCCTTAACATTATTTTCATCCTAATTGCTGGTACAACCACTCAAAATAGTCGTCATTATGACACTATCAGTCCATTGACATAGTTTGTACAACAATATTAATTGTAGAACCGCAAAAACATGGAATGATCCTTCAAACCTAAAAATAATCCAGACAATTTACTTGTTTGATACTCCAAAAAGCACTCTCAGTCTCTCGTTACTGATTTCTTGCAGTCCCATCAGGTTATCAAAATTAGGAAAAGAACTGGAAAGCATGAATATCAATAAACAAAAATATAAAGAATCAAAATAATTGAAGCAACTAGCCCTAGGAAAGACACTAAAACAATAGACTACATAAAAAGCATGCTCAAAAGACTAATAGATAATGAAGACTGCTTAAAGAGGACTCCTAACTTGAAAAGGCGTTAAATTGGTCGGTAAAAAATAATAATTCAGACAAAAAAAGAAGGCCCCACTTTTCTGGAGGAAGAAAATCACCAAATGCCGCTGGAAAAAGTATATAGTGGGATAAAAAATAGGAATGATTGTAATGAAAGAGATATAAGCGAGTATCAACAACACATCAACACAAGTAAATTTCCACAAACAGAAAGATAGGCAGCCCCTTCAAGCAAAAAATTAAATCAGTTGTCATCTCCAAAGTTCCATTTTTTTAAACACCCAAGTACAGATTCATTTTTCAAATTTAACACGCAAAAGACACAAGCATGGGTTCCTTATATTTATCCTCAACAATTAGCAGTTGGTTCAGCCCATTATTTTTAGATAAGTAAATATGAAAGGAAATTAGAACAACATATATTTTGTCTAATGGTGCCAATCGTGTTAGCACAATACATATTGAACAACTGTATGACGTTTTGTCGGATATAATCTATATTCATAATATAATAAAGGAGCTTGCATAACCTTCTTAATCATCAGGACAAGAACAGCTTTCAATAAAAGAAATAAATGTTAAATGTGCTAAGGGCCTCATTGGGGTCACTTTTGTTTTTAAATAACATTTATTTTTTTAATTATTTTTAAAAATAAATCAAATAGTTGTTAAAAACACTCAAGCAAATTTTAAAGTGTTTTGAGTGCTTTTAAAAACAACTATCACAACTAGTCACCAGCATTATCATTGCCTTACCAATAGCTGCGCTACCCGGCCGACAACCACTGCCGCCATCGCATAAATCAAATTATTTGATGTTCAAAGAAAATAAGAAACATATTTTTAAGATATCAAATATGTTTTGCTTCATGTCAACATATAAACAAAATAAAATAAAAATAAAAATGATACCAATCATCCCTTAAATAATTCATTTAAATTATGGTGTCATCAACATAAACAAAAACAAATAGAAGCACTTGCATGTGCTAAAATCAATAATTAAAAACAAATACTACCTCTCAAACTCCAAGAATATTCTATGGCTTGCTAGACCTCTTCCATCATTAAGGCCTTCTCTATCCAAATCCCTATTGACAATAAACAAAACAAAAGGAAGTAGACTTAGTGTAGCTTGCAAATGCTTACCAAGTCAAAGCACATTATCACACCAGTAATAAACAAAGAAAAAAAACTCTCCAATGAAATACAGATGAGCAATGTCTAGATGATGATAAGTTTGATCAAAATACAGCATTTAAACTACATAATAAGCAGATATTCAATAGCATAAGTGAATCTGTCAATTGTTGCACAGACCTGGAAAAATAATTAAGGGGAACTTATCTTGCAGAAAGAGACTAAGTGGGAATTAGCATCTAAGAAAAACTAGCAAGTCATCTAAAAACAATTCTTTTAGTGCAAGAACGCAAAATTCTGCATAGAGGAAACAACACAATAGTTTTAACTCTAGAACCCACTTCCAACGCTTCTTTGTCAAAAAAGTGCACAATATGTGTTGCTAACACAGTGAGTGTATATATATATATATATATATATATATATATGCACACAATTTGGGATAAGAAACATAAACCACAAAACAGTCAAGTCACAAGTGCAATTCATTATTCTAGAAGTTTTAGAAGAAATACTCAAATACACTAACTCGTGGTGGGACTTAAGGAAGTTGCTGTTGACACATACATAACGAGAGTTAACTTGGGTTTGTAGAATGAGTTCCTTTCCTTAAAATATAGAAACTAATAGAAGGGAATCTTGCATGTCTCTGCTTGAAGTCAAGAATTACACCACAAAGATATGACTAATACTCTAAATGTGAGACTATGAGTTCGAAATCGAGAAAAAATACATAAACATAATTTCAATGGACAATCATTAACATTTACCCAAAATAGTCCACCTAAACTACCAGAAAATTTCAGCAATTTAACAAACGCAGCATGGAACATATTATCCTCACATCAGCATTTAATAATCTTGCACCTAATATTCTGTACTTTCTCAAGCACCCACATCCTTGCAAAGAAATAAATAGATGTCATTCACAAATTACCATAAAAAAAGCAATTCAAAAATAGCACCATATAGACTTGAAAGTAACTTGCTTTAATAACTAAAACACAAATCTCAATAAACTACAAAATATAAGTTATAAGAAAAAACTTAAGTTCGGAGAAAACATGAGAAACCGCTGACAGCTTATAACAATAATTTTATCTTATTCAACTAAACACAAGATTATTATAGTCATTTCCTTCCAAATAAAACAAAGTAGAGCAACAAGAAGTGTGCTGCAAAATTTAAAACCCCAGCAAACCTTGGGTACCATCTCTAGCCACCAAAACAACATTTATGAATAAGATCAAGATATTTTTGCACTTCTTTTACTCAACTTCAACATTTATTTTCCTTTAAACATTTAAAATTACCATTAAAACATTAAGGAGACTCGGTTTGTTTTTTCAAGTAATATGTACAACTGCAATAAATACAACCGTGTTGGAAAGTATTATTTATAATAAAAAAAGCAATACAATTAGAGTTGAATACAGAGAAAAAATAACATTAAAGATCCCATAAGAATAATTTGTGATGATAATAAAGCAAGAAGTGATGATAGTATCACTAACAAAAGACTATTAATAAATAGACTAAGTGACACCGGAGCTGAGCTGTTTGATTGTATTAACTTCAGGCTAGTTTCATTCCATTTGATAGCTTATATGGCTACATAGGATTGGTGCTTGCTTTTGTTGTGCGTGGCCTAATAGGTGGCTACCTTTGTCTATAAATAGGTAGCAATGTTTGTAATTGGGAGATTTAGAAAGATGAATAATATTTGAGTTCTTTTTCTCAATTAATTTGGGTTTTTGTATCCTGAAGGATTTCAGGTGGTGATCCCATCCCAAGAAGGAGTTCTTGGGTTATGCGTGGATTGCGAGTTCCTGTAACTCACGTATTGTATACGTCGCCGCGTACCCCCCCTATCCCCCCCCCTCGTCGGCATCACTAAGTTTTTGAATGTGCAAGGAAAAATAAAGAATGTATTTGAGTTAGAACCATTGTGAAAGCGAATGTAATATATTCATCCATCTATTCTCTATCATCTCCGCAATTGTTTCCTCTTCCCATGTAGCTATCTAAACTGTCCCACCTCACCATCCTCCTGTTGTTCAATAGTTTGGCCCAAATTTTCATTTATTTATCAACATTTGCTACTTCAGGGAGATTTCCAAGGTCTTCTCCTTCGTATTTTTTATGAATTTTGTTTGTGTTTCAACAAATGAAAGTGTTGTATGAGTTACTGTCAAATAAAAGAGAGTTTTTTAGACATATTTCTTTTTTATTAGTGATTTTGGTTGTCTTTTTATGTGGCGGTGGAAAAAATGTTGCATTGTTCATACTAGCAATGAGTATCAATATCAGGAAAAAAAAATAAGTAAACTTTAAAAGAAGTGGTTGGAGTGATGCAAAACGTGACTATACGTGCTAGGAAGTGGCTGCTCCTTTAATAACAAAGTATAACTAAAGGTCTTTCTCAGCAAAGGGGTGTTAGAAAGGTAGGGAACAGTTATGGGCAGGGCTACTAAGCTATGAAAAAATTTAAGAATTAGAGACATAGTATTTGTATGCAACCTTCGGGAATAGTGGAATACTTAAGGGTTTCTTTTAGAACAGATATAACTATCAATAAAATTAATTGTAAAATCATTGTGAGAGAAACAAAGTTTTTGCAAGTTGACATGTTATTGTAGATTTTTACATTATAAAAATTTCAATAGCTTTCTTATAGCCACCAGACTTTAATGGAGCTGATTGTGAAAAACTAAACATCATAAAAAATTTTGAAAAGTAGCCAAATAAAAAAAATTAAAATGGTCTATAAAGTTCTGAAGAAACTGTGCCTAACACACCATAATAGTAAAAAAGTTCACTGAGGAAGAAAATTGATGTGGACACACTTCCTTTAGGGCAACTACTCCATATAAATTAGAGAAGCCATTCAAGGATTCATTGATTGCTACAATCTCATTGCTTGGTACAATTGTGGAAGCCTTAAAAATCATTGATTTCAACAATCCCAAGGGCCTCCTTCCTGTAGTTTCTACTACAATCCCGGAAAAACCTTTGTAGGAACTGTTGATTGCTGCAGCCGCCCTCTTGTTTCCTTTGTATGGGTATATACATATGGAAATTACGAAACAAAGAAAATGTTGTGAAGAGTTTTTCACTGTTCTTTTTAATAGATTTCCAATGTTCATGAACTAGGAGAATTGGAACCCGATCTTCTAATAAAACATGTTGGGCTTCAGTATCATCAAATCAAAACAAGATATTTCAAAGTACATGAACAATTGCGTCCATACAGCTAAATTATTCATCAGTAAAATGCCCGTATCTTATTTGAATAACAGTAATCGGTGTTGTTTAAAACCATGCTTTCTACGAAGTGCCAGGACATGTATAAACAATTTATAAATCCGAATTTTAGAGCATAAGTTTTCCCAAAAAAAAAAAAACTTTAGAGCACAAGGAAGTCTGCATTGGCGGTTAACAACTTCTAACAAGTCTCAAGAATCTCATTCTAGGTCTATCTTAAATAATAATAATAAGAATGATAATAATACTGATGATGATGATGATAATAATAATAATAATGTGACTACATAAATCAATATAACTGAACTCCATGACCATAACCCATGGAATTGGAAGACCTGGGATATATGAACCATTCAAAAGAAAATGACATCAGTAAAAGAAAGCAATTCCCTCAACAAGTTTTGGTGCTCGTTAAATACAAACTTACATGTAAACTTGAGTTTCCCTCGGTTGAATTTCTGCGAGTTTCGAACCCATTCTCAAAGACGAACACCAATAAAACGCTTTATCTCAACAATCCCAAACTCCTCTCCATCAATCTATGAACCTTACATGTAGAATCGCCCTCGCCGACTCCTCTTTACCTCCGCAGAAAACAGAAAGAAAATCTTGACTAAAGAACAAAATGTAAGAGCGGATGGTTTATACGTAAAATCGCCTTGCCCGATTCCTCTTTGCCTTCGTGGCAAGAAGGAAGAGAATCGTGGCTGAAGGGAAAGAGACGGGAGGACGGCAGTCGAATAGCTCTTAACCTCGGCAACAAGCGAGGAAGCGAAATGCAGAGCTCGGAGGTCGGAAGGAATGGCTCTCGACGGTGTCGGGTTTTCGCTAGGGCATTATTTTCAATCGATATAAGCTTCACCTCTGACTATGGATGCCCTCGGATCTAACGGTGGAAGTCGAACAAAAAAAGGAAAAATTATAAATGGTATATTCGAACCGACAACAAAATTTATCATCATATTACAATTTACAACTCTAATTTGTTCTCCAGTAATCTGAAAATGAAGTTTGAGGAAACTCTTATTATGTTAGATTAACCATGCATTTTGTTCATGAATGGTATAAATTAATTAGCTATCATTAACTAATTATAGTTGACCCATTATAAATTGCTAGCATTTAAATTTGAAAAACACAACTTTCAGAAACCCATAATTTCTTTTGCAGAGAAAAAAATTCGAGGTCTAGAGAGGTAGTTTTTCAATGCATAATAAATAACATTTTCTTGCTCGGATTACTATTTATTTTTCAGCATTTGCTGAGTATAACAGCCTCTTGGATCGCTTTCAATTTATAGCTCAAACATTCTTATTACTTATTAAATATATTAAAACAAGCAAGGCGATGTTATCTTTAATAAGACGGCTAAACTTCACAATAACAGTTAAACCAAAGACATTTAAAAGTAGAAGAAATAGCTGTCACCTAAGATTAACATGAAATTCTACAGCAAGCAGATCATCAGTAAAATAAATTCAAAATAACTTTCACAAAAATCAATTTGATTAAGATAACCGACCTCTCTAGTCATCAAAGATTTTGGAATGACTCTGCAGGAAAGAGAAAATAACTATACATAAGCAAAATTACTACCATATAGCATAAAATATAAAAGAAATGCTAGGATAAAATGCATGGTTAATCTAACATAAATAAGATAGAAAACTCAACACCAAAATGATTAAACAGATAATGAAGGCATGTAAATATTCATGTAAATGCAAACACCCATGTGACACATGCACAGTTTGACATTTTAGAAGCTCTGATATATAAGAAAAGCATAAACATATAGCATATGACTAATTAAATTACCGTTGGATTGCTGGTGACACCCCTAACCCCACTAGCTATGTGCGGAAAATGATCTGTAACAGGACGACATAGATAAATGAAAACAAAATGTAGGTCCAATTTAGTGGACTTTGCAGCTATGGATTCTCTGTTACATACCATCTAAATCAAGGGCACATTTCTTAGGTGATTGCCTGTTTTTCTAGGAGCAAGCAACTCAATAGTGATATCAGAATCCTCTAAGAAAATATAATACATGAAAAATTTATGTTCAAACTTAAAGCAAGTAATACATCTAAACCATCCATTTGTGGAGGTTTTAAACTTTGTATATCTATCATGAAAAGCATAAAATGAGTTAAAAAGATAAAGCACAATTTTCATGCTTAGAAATAGTGAAGAGCCGAAACTTCTCATCTCCATGGACCTGCACAGAAAGATTAGAGAAGACGAAGCTACAGGGATTTGGCTGAGAATTCAAACTCATAGTATTACTGTAGCAATACTTGTCTTTAAATACATCAGTGAGAAAGGAAAAGTAAAAAGCCTAAACTACCCTTGACAGTTACATCTAACGGTTAGGGAACAATAGCTGCAGTAAGTGCAGAGGAAGCGGCTGTAGAGCAGAAGGAGGAACGCGGGTTTTGCTCAGAGGTAGTGGAATATACTGAGTGCTTTTCACCGTCCCTCAAGTTAATGGGCGGAACGACCATTAACTTGGTGCGAAGTATATTGAACTTAGAGTAATGCAGAGGCTTAGTGAGCAAGTCTGCAATTTGATCTTTGCCTGCAATGTGATGAACCGTAATATGCTTAGCGTGAATGCTATCCCGAAGAAAATGATGGTCGATTTCGATGTGTTTGGTACGGGCATGAAAAATTGGATGTTGAGCTATTGAAAGAGCCGAAACACTGTCACATAAGATGGAGGATGGTGGCAACGTAATGTGGAAATCTGCATAGAGTCGGCGTATCCAAATTAAACGGCGGCGGCAGCGGCAAGCGATCGATATTCGGCCTCAGTAGAGGATCGAGCAACAGTTGATTGTTTTTTTACGGTCCATGCAATCAGTGCTTTGTCGAGAAAGGTGCAGTATCCGCTTGTAGACTTGCGATCAACTGTATCTCCAGCCCAGTCAGAATCAGCAAAGGCGGTGAGAACGAGATCCGTTTTCGGAATAAACAGAGGGTAGTGTAGAGTCCCTTGTAAGTAGCGTAAGACACGTTTGGCCAACTGAAAATGAAGAATTAGAGGGGAGTGCATCTTTTTGCAGAGCTTATTGATAACAAAGGTGATGTCTGGCCGGATAGACGACAAGTACTGTAAAAAGCCTACAAGTTGTCGGAACAGTGATGGATGTGCAAACGGCAGCATAAGGGAGGGATCGGTGGGTAGTTTAGTGGGCAGTGGTGTTTGAATGGGATTACAATTGGTCATAGAAGCCAGGTGGAGTAAGTCTTGGATATATTGTGTTTGAGAGAGATGGAAGCCGACAGAGGATCGGTGGAAGGTAATGCCGAGTAAAGACGAGAGGGTACCCAGATTTCTGATTTGGAATTTTTGATGAAGCTGGGAGATGAGGGAGGAGTTAAAAGTGGGATTTTTACGTAAATTAAGATGTAGATTTTTATAGAATTTTGAGAGAGTATTAAGAAGGATGGGTCGGCTGAGCTAACATGGAAGTTTTGAGTAAGAAGATAGTTTGTTAAGGTGGCAAACCATAATCGAGGAGATTGTTTAAGGCCATAAATGGCTTTGTTTAAGAGACAAACATGATTGGGAAATTGTTTGTCGAGAAAACCTTGAGGTTGAGCCATGTAAATGGTTTCGTCAATCTTGCCATGAAGGAAAGCATTGACGACGTCGAGTTGTAATACTGGCCAGTCGAAATGTAAGGCAACAGTGAGGAAGATACGAATAGTGGGAAATTTGACAACGGGACTGAAGGTTTCATGGAAATCAATCCCATATTCTTGATGATAGCCTTGAGCTACTAGGCTAGCTTTATGGCGAGCTATGGAGCCATCGGCATTGCGCTTTATTTTGTATATACATTTGCAACTAATCACTTGTTGATTGGTAGGAGGTGGCACAAGCGACCAAGTGTTCTGAGCGGTGAGCGCATTGAATTCGGTCGACATGGCATGCCGCCAGTGAGGAGATTTATTTGCGATGGTGTAAGAGGTAGGAGGAGTATCAATGGTGTGTGAGAGATTTAGTAATTGCCATGGTTTTAAGGAGCCAATTTGAAACCTTGTAACCATATGATGAGTAGGTATTGTGGAGGCAGTGGTGGAGGTAATGCTGTTGGTGGATTGAAGAGAGGAGGAAGTAGTTTGCGTGTTATTTGTTGGGAGGGATGGGGTATGTGGTTGGTGAGGGTAAGAAGTTGAGGGGGAGAAAGATTCATTTCTGGAGGGGAAGGGTAATGTGGAGATGTGTGGAAATGGTGGTATGGGGGTGGTAGTAGAGGCGCTCGACTTAGAAGTTTGAAAATTAGGAATAGAGGGGAAGGTGTTTTCATCGAAAGACACATGGCGAGAGATATATAATCTTCCGGTGATGGGATCGTAGCATTTGTATCCTTTTTGTGTAAAGGGGTAACCGAGAAAGAGGCAGGGTATAGAGCGGGCAGCAAGCTTATGTGGTGAGTAAGGTCGAAGCCAAGGATAGCAGCGGCAGCCAAAAATTCTAAGGTGGTTGTAATTCGGTTTCAGTTTGTAGAGCAGCTCAAAGGGAGACATTTTAGGATTATGGGATGATGGTAAACGGTTAATAAGATATAAAGATGTAAGTAGAGCTTCGGACCATAGGGTAGGTGGGAGATGCGCGTCTATGAGCAATGTGCGAGCTGTTTCGACGAGATGGCGGTGTTTGCGCTCAGCAACACCGTTTTGTTGGGGTGTATGAGGACATGTGAGCTGATGAGTAATGCCAGACAAAGCGAAGAACTGTTTTAAGGTATTATTAACGAACTCTGTTCCGCCGTCGGACCGAACAGAGCGAACAGAGTGGTTAACCTGTTTTTCGATTTGTCGAATAAAAGAAATGAGAGCGGAAGGTACATCAGATTTCAGTTTTAAACAAAATATCCAAGAGAAACGTGTAAAGTCGTCCACAATTAAGAGATAATAACGATATCCATTCTAGGAAAGGACCGGTGAAGGGCCCCAAACATCTATATGAAGAAGTTCTAACACAGAAGTAGATACATGGTGTGAGGGGGAGAAAGGGATTCTGTGACTTTTAGCAAGTTCACAGGAATTACATAGAGAACTAGTAGACTTAATACATAAAGCAGGACACTGTTTTGAAAGAGACAGCAAGACTTTGGAATGCGGGTGGCCGAGACGACGATGCCAGGTTGTAGCAGAGGAGCGGGATCGAACAGTAGTAGTATACATAGTTATGGAAGGAGTTGTTGAGGTGGTAGGCAAGGGATAGAGACCATTACGGCACGGTCCACTGAGAAGAGTTCTGTTGGTCTTCAGATCCTTGATATGAAAACCGGATTTGTCAAAAAGAATAGAGCAGTTATTATCGTTAATGAGTTTAGACAAGGAAAGTAATTTATGAGTTAAGTGGAGAACATGGAGTAAGGGATTAAGAACAAGCTTACGAGTTGGAGTGGGTAGGAGACCATTGCGGAGGTTATGTATGGGTAGCGGTGTGCCGTTGCCAACTAACGCATGGTCCTTACCTATATAAGGCTGCTGAAAGGGAAGCGGATCCGGGGACAAATGAGAAGTAGCTCCACTGTCAAGATACCAAGGTGCAGAGTCTGCTGAAGAGTTGTTAGCTAGCAGTGCGACATCAGAAGCAACTGTAGGAGAGGAATATTGGAAATTTCCTCGATGCCAACATGTGACAGCTGAATGACCTGTTTTGCCACAAATTTGGCATTGTCCATCATAGCGTGGTGGTCGGGAAGTCCGAGAGAAGTTAGAGCTACGGCCACGACCGCGAGAGGCGGTTGAACATCCTCTGCCTCGTCCACGAGGAGCGTAAAGAGCAACGGCGGGATCAGGAGCAGGAGAGGTTGAAGCTAGAGATAGTTCCTTAACTGCATCAGTCGTCTGATGAACCTCTTCACTCTGAAGCA